AGGTCTATGCTTGTATTACGGTGAAGAAGGCCACAAAGTTGGAAACTACCCCAAGAAGCAAAATCGACGTATTGTTAGGACTAGGGGTACGTTTATTCAAGAAAATGAGGATGCCCAGCCACAATAGGAACCATGCGGCTGGGCAATGAAACATCACAACAACAACCAGGTTCCTTTCTTTCCGCTCAACCTGCCCTTTGTTTTACAATCCCTTTGCTTATTGGCCCTCAGAAACTGAGAACCTTAGTATTATTAGATTTAGGAGCATCTACTTGTTTCTTAGACGAAGAATTTCCGAAGCATCATAAGATCCTTTTAGTACAAAAATCCAAACCTGTTCATGTTGAGGTCATAGATGGACGACCTTTATTGTCTGGTAGTATCACCTATGAATCAGAACCTATAGAAGTGACGTTTAAGGGCCATAGTAGTCATATTATTTTCAATATTATTAGAATCCCATCAAATCATGTTATTCTTGGTCTTTCCTGATTGAAAAAGCATAACCCATCCATAGATTGGAGGTTGCAGAAGATGACCTTTCTCACAAAACCACCCAAGAGCAAGCCTAGTAGAAAATCCCGAATAGAAAAATCTTTATTCATTGGAGCAAGAGCGTTTATAAGATCATCCAAGGAAGGCACACTGTTTATCATTTATGCGGCTCCAACTATCGGGAAGAAGATCTCGACAACAAGTATACTTGAGCAATATAAGGATTTTAAAGACATGTTTCAAAAGAAGAATGCTGACATGCTACCGGAACACCGATCATATGGTTGTGCCATAGACTTGCAGGAAGGAGCACAACCGCCTTTTGGCCCAATTTACAATCTATCGCAGATGGAGTCGACGGAGTTGCGAAAGTACATTGACGAGAATCTAGCCAAGAACTTCATCCGTCATTCAAAATTATCAACTGGAGCATCCATCTAATTTGTGAAGAAGAAAGATGGCTCGTTGCGGATGTGCGTAGACTATCGAGGCTTCAACAAGGTAACAAAGAAGAATTGTTATCCGTAACCCTTGATTTTTGGTCTCTTAGAACAACTTGGATGTGCAAGGATCTTTACAAAAATTGATCTAAGGGGAGCTTACAACCTCGTACGAATCAAGGAAGGAGATGAGTGGAAGACAGCGTTCCGTACAAGGTATGGCCATTTTGAGTATAATGTCATGCCCTTTGGTCTTACCAATGCTCCAACAGTCTTTCAACATATGATGAATGACATTTTTCGAGAGCACCTTGATGATTTTGTTGTCATCTATTTGGATGATATTTTGATATTCTCCAAAAACGAAGAAGAGCATGAAAAGCATGTTCATTTGATCTTGGAGAAACTACACGAGCGAGGACTATAGGCCAATTTGGAGAAGTGTTTATTTCACTAAATAGAGATGGAGTTTTTGGGGTTCATTGCGACTACTGAAGGCTTGAAGATGGACCCCAAGAAGGTGGAAGCAATCATGTCCTGGGAGGTTCCGAAGACGGTTAGAGACGTACAATGCTTTCTTAGTTTTGCCATCTTCTATCGGATCTTCATCAAGAATTACTCTCAAGTTGCTATTCCTCTCACTCGGTTGACATGCAAGGATAAGCTGGAATTGGGACCTCTAGCGGAGAAGGCGTTTCAAGTCCTGAAGACCGCATTTACTACGGCTCCAATCTTGATACATCTATACTTTACAAAGGCCTTTTATTTAGAAATTGATGCTTCGGATTTTGCTTTGGGAGCTGTACTTTCACAAATGGGAAAAGATAAGAAGCTCCATCCAATTGCATTCTATTCTCGAAAGTTCTCTGGTGCTGAAATCAATTATGAGATCCACAATAAGAAACTTCTTGCTATAGTGGATTCTTTTCGAGAATGGCGTCACTTTCTTGAAAGAGCTACACACCCAGTGACCATATACACAGATCACAAGAATTTGGAGTATTTCATGTCGGCTCGAGTTCTAAATCGACGTCAAGCTCGATAGAGTATGTTGCTATCTAGGTTCGATTTTGTTATCACTTATCAACCTAGAAAGCAGCAAGGATTATCTAATGCCTTATCGAGGAGATCGTATCTTGTACCAAAGGATGGAGAAGCAGCGTTTGATCAACAATGTATGACGTTGTTAAAGCCAGAAAAATTTTGACTTTGCACTACTATTGTGCCAATTGATGCTGACTTCCTGAATCATGTACGTGTCGTGACCATTGAAGATTCAGTAGCCATTGATATTAAGCAGCGTACCAATGACGACAAGTTCAAGGTGGAGGGAGATCTTTTATACTTTGAAGAGCGGTTATATATTCCAAAAGGACCAGCACGACTCTGAGTTCTTCAATCTCGCCACGATTTTCCAACTGCAGGACATTTTGGATTCAACAAGACCTTGGAGCTTATTTCTCGAGATTTTTGGTGGCGCCAAATGTGGAAGGATGTGAAAGATTTTGTCCTCTCCTGCGACATCTGTTCAAGATCCAAGAATCCTCGACATCGCCCTTATGGACTCCTACAGCCATTGCCGATTCCACATCGACCATGGTCTTCAATTTCCATGGACTTCATCACGGACCTGCCATCATCAAACTCATTTGACAGCATCTTTGTTATAGTAGATCGGCTTACAAAGATGGTGCACTTTGTCCCTTGCAAGAAGACATCGTCCAATGAAGTCACAATAAGGCTTTTTCTCGATAATGTGTATCGATATCATGGACTACCAGATGATATCGTATCAGATCAAGGAACCCAGTTCGTATCAAAGTTTTGGAGATCTCTCTTTGAGATACTGAAGGTGGATATCAAGCTTTCTTCGGCTTTTCATCCTCAAACTAATGGCCAAACGGAACGGGTGAACCAAGTCTTGAAACAATACTTACGATGCAGCATCAACTATCAATAAGACGAATGGATCACATATCTGTCGCTAGTCGAGTTTACATATAACAACATCTTCCATGCGTCGACTCAATATACACCATTCTTTTCCAACTTTGGGTATCATCCGAAGCTTGATTTATTGAGTCCGTCAACAAATAACAATTCAGCAGCTGAAAGATTTACAAAACAACTATCACAGCTTCAAAATACGTTGAAGCTTCAATTACAATCCGCTCAAGAATCCTACAAGGCGTTTGTAGATAGATTTCGAAATCAAGCACCTACTTTCAAAATTGGAGATAAAGCATGGTTTCTTCGACAGAATATCAAAACCAAGCGACCATGTGATAAGTTGGACTATCGAAGATTGGGACAATTTATCATCCAGAAGCAAATCAATCCAGTGGCGTACCGTCTGGAATTACCGGCTTCTATAAAGGTACATCTAGTCTTTCATGTTTCTCTGTTGGAGCCTTATCGAGAGTCGTCTTTTCCTCGAAGAGTGCAATGTCTACCACCTAGTATTGAGATCGAGAACCACGAGGAATATGAGATTGAAAAGGTGTTGGATTCACGGCGAAGGTGGGGTAAGTTGGAGTATCTTGTTCATTAGTGCGGCTACGACATTAATGAGCGAACGTGGGAGCCAGCTAAAAATCTTGCCAATGCGTTGCAAAAGGTACAAGAGTTTCATCAAAAACATCGTCATAAACCTAAGCCGGTTTGACGATTGCTTCCTTCTGAAGCTTGCTCGCCCAAGAATAAAAGAAAGGGGGAGAGCACCACCAAAATTCGTAGTTGATGTAGTTATTTTCTCCAAGATAAAATAGAATTTTTTCAATAGTCATAGTTTGGTCTTCTGATATGGATAGCCAAGAGATAGATACTATGCTAGTCAGATTATCTCAACCGACTAGCTCACGAAGGCGACCCCGAGATGAAAAACCGCCTACACCACGACGACGACGGAGGATACCGAGTAACCGATCATTGCTGATTGTATTTGAGTCCAAGCTTGCTTACGATGGTCAGCCAGAAGGCGTATTTGCAAGACAATTTCACAATGAAGACACTGAAGTTCATGCTTAGTCAGAAGTTGAAGGAGTGGGCCACTACCGTTGGCTTCAAGGGCCGATGAACCACTTGCCTCATGAATAATAGTTGGAGTTCATAGCAGACGTTACGCGATAGATCTTCATTTTCTTGCGTTAGTACTGATTAACAACAACATTACTTCTCAGAGACCTCGAAGCTAAAGGAGGGGGTGATGTTAGGGATATAGTCCTTAGAACCTTCTAGAGACAAGTTTCTAGAACCTTCTAGAAGCAAGTCTCTGGAACCTTCTAGAAGCTTCTTAGTTGGTAGAAGATGTTAGGGACATAGTCCTTAGAACCTTCTAGAGATAAGTTTCTAGAACCTTCTAGAAGCAAGTCTCTGGAATCTTCTAGAAGCTTCCTAGTTAGTAGAAGTTGCTTGAGAAGCTTCCTAAATAGGAGTATATATTGGAATCGAGGCTGAAGAGTTCTTCAGTCTCGACAACACATTTCCTGGAGCTCTAACTCATTTCTTTGGTGTTGTTCTTATATTCATTTGATTAATGTAGTTCTTGCCGGTTCTTTTTAAACTTCTTGTTAAATCTCGAGTCTATATTTCTGTGTCCGTGACACAATTACAAAGCTTTATTTTATTTTTTCTAATATCTTCTTTTCTCAAATCTTAAAAAGAATCTCCACAACATTTCAAATTAAGAATTCTTTTCAAATTCAATATCAAAGATGTATTCTTACAAATTGCAAAGAAAGTTGCATAAAGAGCATTAGTTGTTTTTAATTATTCTTAACAATTTTGTACAATCTTTGGAATTCCACCACCTCCACATTTTAAATGAAAACATGTGATCCACCGCTCAACATTGTCATTTAAAGGAACTAAAAATCTAAAGCCTAAAACCTGATATACACTAAGTGGCTAAAATCAGATATAAATGTAGACTATGACACTTGCATCAGGCATATGTTAATAAAAAAAACTACAGTGAAATTATCAACACATAAAAGAACTTGCTTGCAATATACTATTTGTCAACTCTTCCCCATCATTCAACATTCACTATAAGCCAAATAAACATAAAGTAGATAAAAACCAACACTGGCAATAGTGTGGAATAATTAATCGTCACGATTGGACACAAAACTGTAGCTCATGGACAGTGAACTGTAAAAATCAGCCTGCACTGAAATCATCGAGACTGAGATTCCGCTCAATAAACCCAAAAATTCATAAGCGCTTACTGATTTGCCAACTGGGAGAGCGAACTCGAGCATCAAAAACCCGTCAACCTCCATCCCTCCTATTTGCATGCACCTGAAATCCTCCTACGTTTCCCATTCGAAAACCAGAGTGTCAGTAATTGGAAAATACACGGAGACGGGAAGTTCCGTTGCAGCTGACTAGCCAACAGCACCAAAAAAACCAAACAGGAGCCCCCATCCAGAAAAGAACACAATGACCTATGTCCATTGGTTTGCTTCCAAAACACCATACAAAACAAGTACAAAAATACAAAACAACCAGAACAAAACTTCATTGCATTGGCAGTGCCCAAGCTGAGTTTCCACAATGAGTGCCCCAGATTACCATGTAGCTGCTCCTACATGGTTGATCACTTTCTTAACAGTTTCGGCACCATCACGTACTTGCTCCCGGACCAAATCAACCATGGCGACTGCGATTACGAAAAATGTCCTCCACCGGACCGGCACTCCCGACACCACCCACGTGGCAACACCCGCCACATCCTCGCTCCATCGACACGGAAATTACCCACCCTCCGCAGAGACTACCCGCTGCTCAAGGACCACATCCAACTCCATGCTGCACAACTTCCCTTTCATCTTCGCCCCAACCTTCCGCCGCAGCTCCATCGCCCATCTCTCTCTCTATCATCCTCAAGTCTTCACACTCTAAACACGGTCGACAACTCAAATATCTACCACTCACTTCCCGCCCACCCAACGCATCGGCGGGACTTCACGCACACCGCTATCCCACCGTTCCAATGCACATTACTATACGCTCCAAACCGTTATAATACTTCAACCGCTCCAGCTCCTGCTCCCACCCAGCTTCTCCCGCATCAACGCTGCTCCATTCGTCTTCAAAGCCCCTGATCGCACAGATAATCCCCCAGCCTCTCCACCACCATGTTGCATTCGCCCGGCGTCACTGGATAGTCGTACAGCCCGATCACAAACGCGCTGTTCGTCTTCTTCACTGTGCACCCTCCTGCACCCTGTACCAACACCACACCCACTTCCTCATTCGCTACCACCTCAACCAACACCCGCCGCCCTCATCACACCCCGCAATCCACTCTCCCCATCACTCTCATCTCCCACCCGAACACCATCCACTGTCACTCCCAACCGTACCTTCTTCCCCCGGATCACAACGCCAGCTTCACCCTGCAGAACCATGTACTTGGCGCTTCCCAAAAACAGCCCGTTCTCGGCCAGCAAGCTCCCGTCCTCGAAACCATCCAGAAGCTTTTCCACCTCCGTTGAGCTCAACTGCCACATCATTCCCCAACCATCACACACTCCGCACTCACCTCGCTCGCCATCCCACCTCCCCACCACAACACACATCCCAAACCGCACCGCCGCTCACCACATTCACATCAACTCCTGGCTACTCCCCATTCCCTGCCACAACGGACTCCAGCTTCACAATGCGCCTGCCATCCCACGCTTCCCCGACCATCTCAATTTCACCACATCCCTTCATTCCTTCCCCAACACCCAATCCATCAACCCACAGTGCTGGAACACCTCATTCTCACAATCCTACTCGTTCCGCACACCTAAACCTTCCTCCTCTTCACTCCACCTTCCTACGGATCCGCAACATCCATCCACGCCAACTCCTACTATTCCTGCATCAAATCACTCCGCCCTCCACTGCACCAACACCTCCGCCTGCTGCCACGACTATACAACTCACCCCTCCCCCTCTCTCCAACCCCTACCGACAACCCATCCACCGACCCACGCATCTCAACGATCGCAAATCCATCCCACTGATCGCATCCACTCCCCAACACCATTCAACTGCGCCAATTCGGGTCCACGCATCCCCGCAACACATCATTGCCACGCGGACAACACCTCTCCACTCTCAGTCCCTCTCAATTGTGCCATCCCCACACCAGCCACAAATCGCACCACCTCTTCCTCCAAAAGGTCTCACCTGCGGAAACATCTCGCTCTGCGCCCAAACACTTCCATCGTGCCCGATGATGGCGGCGGCCACCAGACTATGCCCCGTCGGAAGCGGGTACATCAAGTGGTCATCGACGTACGACTGCCACGACATGGCTGCTGCCCTCGCCTGCCGCTGCACCACCTCCCCACCACACTCACTCTACCACTGCAACAGCCCTGCGCACCAAAACAGTCCCTCTCTCGGGTTACCACACGCAACGCCACACTTCGCGTCGCCTTCACCACCCGATCGTCGACAACTCCCAAGCCACCTCTCACACTATCGCCCCACCATTTCAAATTTCATGCACTACCTCCTCCCCGCCCACGCAATGCGCCATACAAACACAAACAAACGCCCAGGCAATCCACCTCCTCCCGACCCCGCCTGCAATCCAAAACCGACCCCACCAAACAATCCTGTCCACCCCCAATTGCCACACTTCTGATCCAACCAGCAAAACCAGCAAACAACACCAACCTCCGCAGCCAAACCAAACGACCACCAGCCACGTCGCAGATACAGGCACTACCGGCACACCACGGCCGCCATCAACGACAGCGAAGACGAGAGAGAGCAGACTCCGGGATCAGCAGCACACTGCACTCACGCTCCCGGAGACGCAAAGCAAACATAAGAAGAGGGTGCCGAAGGCGGAAAGGACAATCGGATGCGAAAATGGCGGCGACGGAAGGGGCAGACACAACATGAATCTGCTAAGCGAGCACATGCCCTCCCCCCGGGCTCGACCAGGCCTAATTAAAAAATATTATTGTATAGATAATATTATTTCAAAATAGGCTTGTAATTTATCATCTATTACACACACAAGTCATTCACAGTCATAACCGACAATAATTGTTATCTAAATATGAGGAGGTAGGTAGTTATAAACTAAAGTAGATAAATTATCTTATGGAGAATCTTCTTAGAAATTTCATAAATGCAGATTTGACTTTAAATGCATTTGTGGGTTATTGATATGTTAAAATCTTGGTTGAGAAGTTGGCCACGTGTCACAGATATCAACCACTTGAGGTAGAAATTAGTCATATATTAAGAATGGATTACCTCTTTTACTTGATAAGTTATAAAAATGTAAGAAATTATAGTTTACTCTTTTTTAAAGTTATATTCTTCTTAAAATTTCTTTTGATATTAGATTTCATCTTCTACTTGTCTTAAATGATATTTGACATTTTTTTTTTCTATTCTATTATTATAAAAAACCTTCTTAAAGTAAAAAAAATGCAACAATATAAATGCAAGAGCAACTCAATGTTTGCAATGCATCAACTCAATGTACTTCCACAAGAAGTAATAAGATTAATAAGAAGTGAAGATGTAGAAATAATTAAAGTTGCTTCAACATCTACACCAAATTATGTTATTTTTTCTATTGATAGAACACCATTCAAGCATCAAAGAACTAATAATTGTCTTTTTAGAGAAGTTTGATAATAAAAGATTAAAATTCTGATGGTTTATCAATTAAGTACAATTAGTGATTAAGCTTCAACTTCAAAGTTTTTTAATTCCAATTTTCAAAACATCTTTATTAGTACACTACTTTTAGGTTTTATTTTATCATGTTTTTCATCTTTTTTTGAATAATATGATTAAATATTGGATAATTTAGAGGCTTTTTTGACAAAATTTTGATTTATGTATGAAAGGTATTATATAATTTTATATTGCAACTAACAAGATTTGAATTATACATCAAAAAATTCAATTAATAAGAATATATACTTTACAAGTTTTATCAACTTGAAATTGATATCAAGTACAATGATCTTATATTCATCAACCAATTTGACTTCAAATTATAATATAAAGTAAAAAAATTGATATTGAACTTATTTTATCTTTAGATATTAAGTCAAGGAATTAACTTTGTTATAAATTGTAATAATTAAATTTTTGAATTTTGATTTGAAAGTCATATAATTAAGCTTCAAAGTTTTTATAATTCAATGGTAACACCAACATCTTTTTTGTACATGTATTTGGAAGTAGAAGATATATAAATTGACGTGATATATTTTAAATCCCTCATTAAGCAAAAATAGATTTAACATTATCAAAAAGGATTGTGCTTATATTATTAAGAATCTAAACACACTATTTAAGATTGCTTAAAAAAATAGTGCAACTATAAAATGAAGAGCTTAATTATCAAAGAAGATAATATTTGATTTAGTCTAGAGATGTTATTTATAAAACCATTCTTATAGATGTAACACCAAATAGTCATAATAATTTTAAAATATTTATTATTATCTATTCTCTTTTAATCTAATTATTTTAGATTTATTGTATCTAAAAAAATATAATCTTTAGATAGATTGAAATTCTTATAGTCTTAATTTTTTCCATAACATAACTAAGACATTTATTAATTAAGTAAAAAAATACAAGTTTAATACAACCAAATTATTATTTGTAGATGTATGACCTTTTATGCATGTTTTAAAAGAAATTCCACTTTTTATTATTTATACCATAATTATTTCTAACAGAAAGACTTAAAGTGGCATTCTATTCTAATATGATAATTTTTAAGATATATATTTTTTTAAATATAAATATTTTTTAGAGCATCATCTTTATGATTATTCAATTATCATTTACAAGGGACCTTAATTACTATTGGAACCAATCTATAACTTATTACCAAATGAATTGGCTAAATTCAAAGAGCACATTAATGATAATCTAGCCAAAATTTTCATATGCCATTCAAAACCTCAAGCAAGAAGTTTTATCTTATTTATTTTTTAAAAAAAATGATCTCTATAGATATATGCAAATGTCATGAACATACATATTTATTCTAATAATTACCTATATGATTAAATAGAAGTAGATAAAAAATAGATTAATTTCATAATATCTTTTAAAAAAGCTTTCTAAAAGCTTCATAAATGCTATGTTGATTTTACACTTGTTTTTAGTTAATTAATAGGCTAAAAACTTGATCAACAAGTTAGCCATGTGATACACGTGTTAGTAGCTTATGGAATAAGCTTATTATATGGCACTCATATAGAGAACTTGTCTTAGAAATTAAGTCATGTATCTAGCAAAGTCAACACATGTTGGAGGTCTTGTAGAATATTACTATCTAGCTTTTAGTTAGAGAATATATATAAAAGTAAGTATGAAACCTTCTTCACTCTTATCAATGCTTTTTAGTCTTTAGTCTTGTTTCAAGATATTCTAGTCTTCTTGTCTTTAGCAATAGTCATTTCAGTTCAATATATTACCATCTTTAAGTGATTTTTCTAATCTTTTTGAATGATACAAGAGTATATTGAAGATTTCTTTCTTCCAGATTTATAACGTTGATAGTTTAAAAAGATTTTTAATTCATTGTTCTTATCTTGTTTTAAAAGCAAGTGGATTATTAAACTTTTATTATTGTGTTTTGAAGGTTGTGGATTATCTACCTTTAAAAAAACTATTTAATTTTTTAATATAAATTTTTTAATATATATAAATATATATATTTTAGAATGTTCTATGGTGGATTCTACTTTGTTTACTAATGTACCCCTAATTCTAGAAACTTCCATAACTTTTCAAATATGATTCCAACTATCTATTCTTATCTGTCAACAATACAAATATCTTATCTATATCCTATTATAATTAATCTTCCTCCACTCATATAAAATGTCCTTGTTTTGCTCCCGATGGTATCTCCAAATTGTTTCTTAGCAATGGATGAAATTCTGTATATGTTCTTATGTTGCATTATGGATGACATTACCTTTCCAAAAAACTTTGTACTAAAGTTATGGACGTCTATTGCCACAGGAAAGGTAGCAATGCTTCAAAATGTTGTCCACTTCATATTCTTATCAGTTATCAACTACAATTGGTGGTGGTGGCAGTTGGTGTTGATCCAAAAAGCGTTTTGGGTTGGTATGAAATTTCTTCAATTACAAAACAAAGATGAGTAGATAAACTAGAATATGTGGCAGAAGCTCGAGGTAGTATGCGACATCAATAATCATTGCAGAAATGTAGAAAGATCCAAGCCACTGACATGTCAGTTTATTGATTTGGATTGCTATAGCAAATGAAAAATTGATGTTGGAGAATAATACCTAACCACCCTTTTGGAAGGTCTTGTGTTGCAAATGGTCATCCGCATATTACTTTTGTCAATTTTGTACAATAAAAAAGTGGTGTTGTATCTCTTATAAAGTTGTTATAAGACATTATACAAACTCCTTCATTGTCAAGTTGTTGGTGTCAATGAGACGATAGAGAGTTGCTAAAGTAATCGAATATTAACTAGTGTTAAGAAAAAATAGTAAATGATTGATACTTGCTTGAATAATATCATTATAAGAAAACTTCAAGAGTATTAAATATTCATCTCAATCATTATGATGAACTACTACAAATATCCATAGCATATCTTTCAAGGTCTAATTTATATGCACTATTTGTCCGTCTATTTGGAGATAGAAGGCTCTAGATATGGCAAATCGAATATCTAGTAGCTTAAACAAGACTTGCCAAAAACTTTTGATGAAATATGGATCTTGATCTGAAATGATAATATGATGTAATCTATGGCAATGAAAGATAATATTGAAGAAGACCCATGCAAGCACTAGGGCATCAATATTCGAGCATATCATGGCCAAGTGAAGTTGCTTCAAGAGTCAATCTACAAAGATGGCAACCACAATATGATTATGAGGCATCTGAGGGAATCATGTAATGAGATCCATAGTCATCCACTTCCAACATGTCATAGATAGTGGAATTGACTACAATAGTCCAAAAAATGCTATGTTGCATATTTTATTACATTAACATGACTTGTAGAAGTACACAAAAGTTCAAACATTATAATTCAAACCTAAAAAAAATCATGTCCTTCAGATCTGTTTAAAGTCTTTTCTTGCTCTAGATGTCCAAATATTGGGATGTCATGCTTAAAGTATATATGTTTAAAATATAGCATTGTCAAGTATATAAATTTTCTTTTTGAAATAAAACAAGCTATCACTAAGACTATAATCTTCATATTATGTATCGCCTATCTTCAATTGATTGCTAATCATCTTAAAATAAATATTTCAATACGTAGCTTTCTTCTATTCTATCTCTTTAATAAGATTTGAAATAACACTACTAATAGTAATGACTTCTGTCTTGTCTTTTTATCTAGTCTTCAAGTTTGGTCTCTGCAATAAGCTGTCTAATACAATATGTTGTTACCTTTGATTGTACTCAAGCTAGATATCAAAAAGCTATAATTTTTCTTCTCCATGATGATGTCTTGATTTCATATTTTTCAAATACAAATCATGTAACAAAGGTCAATGATCAGTCCAAAGAACCATTAGCTTTTCCAATATATAATATCGCCACACCTTTGTGGCATGTAGAATTGTTAATTACTCTCAATCGCATGCAGAGTAATTGTATTTTGCCCTTTTGAGCCTATGTGATTCATACACCATAAGTGAAAGGCCTCTACCAAAGTCTTGTTGAGGGACCGCTCCAATAGTAAAGTCAAAAGGATCAATATAAAGTATATAACGAAGGTTAGGATCATATGGTTGCAATATAAGAGTAGTAATGAGTGCCTCCTTCAATCTGTCAAAGGCACTTTAGTGCTCCAATTTCCATTCAAATGGAGTAGCCTTCTCTAAT